TAGATTTGAAAAATATCACTGCCTTCAGAGATGTAATTTTTTTGGTTTGCCCCAACCCAAGGAATTGAGTGGATTTGTCAGTTACTTGTCAGGTCTAATAGAGAAATAGAGAATGTGTAATCATATGTTATGACAGTAGCATAACTCAATTTTTGCTGAAAAAAATACAATCCTTCTTTGGTCATTTACATTGGCAATGGCCTAAAGCACCACAGCTGCTAGGGGCAGTGTTTTCCTGACCAAGCTAGATTGCAACCTTCTGGGCAGTATTAGCGGGGTGCTGCTGTTGATACTGCCCATACACTCAGGTATCCAGGCCCTATCCCTCCCCTGTAGAGTACTCCCACTATGAGAAGGAGAAGTAAAATACAACCATTGTGTAGCACTGCAAAGTCGGAAGCAGAGACTGTATGTAATAAGTACATAAATGCCCAAAAAACATTGTCAACTACACAGAAAAACTTTAAAAGTTGTTAATACATTCATACACATTGATGATTTACATTAAGCTGATCTCTTTCATCCATATATCTAAAAATAAAGACTTTACATTCTCTTTAAAGAGAAAAAAATTATGAACCTAACTAGTGACCTAACCTAACTAACTTCTTCCTTGTTTGTATTTCCCAGTAGGTTTCATTGCTGGCTGCAGAAAAATTTACCAGATAATAATAGTCTGTATTGAATGCAGCACTGCTAAAATTATTTGCTATGCCGGGAAGACAGCATATAGTGACAGTAATTACCATTCTTACATAACAACATAAGTGTTTAATTACTGTAACACATTATTTCACAACATATAACAATATATTGACTCATAAGGGATTTTTTCTGTATTACATTTAATGAATTCTAATTAATTTGCGACCTTATTTTTTTTGTGTGTAAATTGGGGAAGTAATCTCGAGGGAATAACACACATACAAAGGTGCCAGGTACACATTGTCACGATTAGGGCACTGGAGCACCAGGAAAAGTAAACTCCGGGTCTTGCGGAGCAGTATGTTGTGACTGATTTAGGAATGTGCAGGATTTGAGGTCTCTGAAGATGCAGGGACAGTGTGACCGCACAACAAACGCAGGTGTGGCAGAGTCGCAGGATCTAAGGAGCTGCCTGGTCTTCACCAGAGCCACTGATGGTGTGGATGTTGAGCTGCGGGGCAGCTCCCAGGTTGCGCCTCTCTGACACACCCGTGCAGGCACAGTGCCAGCGGGTACTCAGGGACCACAGCACACTGGATTAGACACAGGGTGCATACAGGATACAAGGTACAGAAAACAGACACTAGAGGGAAGACGCAGGGAACATGCGCGGCTCAGGGAGCAGGTAGCAGAAGGGAACACACAACCAGTGTACACAAAGAGACAAGAGATACAAAGTAACAGCAGAGGGGAATGCACAGGAGAAAGAAGGGAGGTGCACTATAGTGCAGAGCACAATAACTACTAGAAGCAGGAGCCGGAGGCAACCACAAACAGAGCAGGAAGCAATGCTGTGGAGGGAACTCACAGCCACAGCAAACTAAAGAGGTACACTGACAGAAAACAGAGGGAATGCAAGAGCACCGCAGGAATCGAACACTGAAAACAACAAGACCAAGCAAAGACACAAAATACAAGTTATACTCAAGAAACAGCAATGCCACAAAAAACAGAGACGTCCGGCTACTAGCGTGGAGACACATTGCTCAAACACAATCAAGTTAAGCAGACAAAAGATTACACCAATCAACAATTATACCTAAATGGGTGTCTAAGTAATATTGGGAGATGTCTAGGATCGCTATTCCGTTGCTTGATTTGGGAAGCCTCAAACCCGAATATCTATGTCTGGCAGGTTTATTAGCCCAGATAAACTTCAAAAACAGGGAGCAAACTTTCGAGAAAAAACAAGGGGAATATGAATTGGAAGTGTTTGAAGAAGGTACAATATCTTTAGGAGGACCGTAATTTTTATAATATTGCATCACCCGAACCATGAGAAAGTACCAGTGTACCAGCGGTCTAGGTCAGCCTTAATGTTGTGCAGGAGCGGGAGAAAGTTTAAAATATAGACCTGTGAGGATTCCTTCGGAAGATTTATGCCTAAATACTCGAGCGCCACAGGTTTCCAATGAAATGGGAATGCCTCCGCCAAGCGTAATCTCTCTCGTTCAGATAGAGAAATGTTTATTGCCTCAGATTAAGAAAAAATTACTTTAAATTGAGAAAAAGAGATGAGGGGGTCGGACACGGAGCAAAGGAGATCATCAGCGTAGGCTGCAATTTTATGGATCGACGCACCCATGAGCACCCATGCGGTGTAAATCTTGCAGCAGGTTAGTTCGTTTCTCCGGAACATTCAATCCTTTAACATAAAGGGACACAATTTTAATGGCAGGCAACATACTGTCGGAAATGCCCTAAACAGTGGAATAAGAAAAAGTGGCAGAAAACACACAAAAAAAACACAGAGAGAAAAAGAAGCTAAAGAGGAAAAGAGGAGAAAGAAGCAAGAGGAGAAGTGAAAAACAGGCAAAGTTAAGAGGTAGTAGAGAGAGAACAGACTAGCCAAAACAGAAAAAGAGGCAAGTGTGGAAAAGGTATAAATTAGGACCAAACAAAGAAGAAAAATTACTTTCCCCAAGTCCCAAGGAACTAAAGGGATAAGCCTACTTGAGGGTGATAGATCAGCAACGGTGAGCAAAGAGAGATGCACAAAAGGAGGGAGACCATCTGTAAAGAAAAACTGAGCTGGGCTATAATATTATTGAGAATCTCAATAGCGAAGAGCAACCCGGTGAGAAATGCTAATAAGCCCACACTCAAAAGGAATCCACAGAACCAGGGCCAGCCTTAGGGGTGTGCGAGCTGTGCGGCCGCACAGAACGCCATGGCAACAAGGGTGCCGTGCGTCCGACACAGCTCAAGGTGGCATGCATTCACAGAACACGCCGGTGACCAACATGGCAGCCGCACATTCTCAAACAAATTATTATGCTCCTGAATACATTTTTCGTATATTCGGACCTATAGTAATTAATTCATTTTACAAGTAGTCTGGGTTTTGTGTTCTGTTTTCTATTTTTACTTTTCTAGATGCACTTACTTGAAAAAAGGGTCGGCATGACAACCTGACACTTTATTTGTATAGACTCTATTTTAGTTTGACATTTATTGTTTACCTTCTGTTGTTTTATTTGATAAGAATACTTATATTGTGCCTACAAGTTTAATACCTTTGAATAAAAGTTTTATTTTTATCATACTTTTGAATATGTTTCTTTGCGGCTTAACAAAATAGGAGTCTTTAATTGGTGCGGATATTGGGAAAATGGGTGTGGTTATGGGGGTGTGGCCAGTAAAGGGTGTGGTCACTGAAGGGTGTGGTCACTGAGGGGCATTGTAATGCTTTCTCTCACACGGTGCCTAAAGGCCTAAGGCCGGCCCTGCACAGAACGGCAGGTGAACAATGGGAAAGGGGGCAATTTACAACTCCTGCCATTAGGGACATGAAATTAAATTCACAGTAGTCTATAATAACAGGGGGCCCGTGGTTAAATGGTTAAAGTATGTAATCTCAGGAGAAGGTTTCTACTCAGTGATAATAAAAAGCAACAACCATATTCAGCAAATAAACCAGAACAAGAGTGCACCTTTGGGGCATTCTAGCACGGATAGACCCTGCCGGGAGGGGACGCTCGCTTGGTCGTCTCGAGGGGATACGGACATTTGCTGCCCCCAAGGAGCACACATAGTGTGAAAACTGGAGGCCAAAACATAGAATGCAAATGTGAAATGTGTAATTTGAGGACACAACCAGGAGCAACCCTTCAAGTAATGCATGTCCCTTGACACCCAGCAGCTACCCAACGCGCATATCTGTATCGTAAAAAACAAAGAAACTCAGGCATAGGAGCAAATTGAGGTCCAAAACAATAAACTGCAAACCACTTCACAAAGCCGCTGAAAGAGAAATGCTATAGAGACAAAACTGAAGGAGCATTATGCTTCTCACGAGGTGGGTTGAAGGGAGTGAGCATCTTGATTTCTACGACTTCTGTTTTCACAGTCATCCAGATGTAGCTGCATAGCAATAAGGCGACTGTGAGTGGTCACGGCTGATGACTCCAGAGCTGACACTCTATCAAAGAGCGAAGCAGTAGTAGTTTCAACAGTCAAGAGCCTGGCATCCACTGTAGACACATGCTGCTTCAGGTCAAGGAGTTCTTTCCTTAAAGCGTCAACTATGGATGAGGCCAAATTCTGCAGGTCTTGTTTAGTGGACAGTAGACATGTGCACTGCCAAAAAATTCGTTTAGTTTCGTTTCGTTTTAAATTCGGATTTGTGTTATTTCGTTTTTCGGGATTCGGGCGTGAAAGTCAATTCGGATTCGGAATTCGGATTCAGACGAAATTCGGTAGTGGTAGGTCGAACGTTCGTTTCGTTTTCTGTTCTTATTCGTTTCTTATTCGTTTCTTATTCGTTTCGTTCGTTCGTGACATTCGAGGGGGGAAAAATATTTTTCTCCTTCTCTAATGTCACTTTGCTCCAACGAACGAAACGAATAAGAAACGAATAAGAAACGAATAAGAACAGAAAAATAAACGAACGTTCGAACTACCGCTACCGAATTTCGGAAATGGAAATTCGGATTCGTTTGCATTCGTTATGTCTGTAATTCGGAATTCGGATACATCCGAATGTCCGAATTTCCGAAAATTCGTCCGAATTTCGATTCGGAACGAAACGAATGGCACATGTCTAGTGGACAGGCATGGCAGGAGATCTCTCACCACCGTGTCTGTAGGCATGTCATGATGTGAGGAGGCCTGTGAGGCTAGGGAGTCGGCGGGAGAGTCATCACCATGCAGCTCCGGAGTCAGGATCGGGGATTGCAGAGGGCTTCTAGAAAGAGGTGCAGTGTTACTCACAGCCTGTGTCGGCTGACATTTGCCATGTCTCTTCCCTGGTGTAGGGCCGGCTGTTGCGGTGGAGTGAGTCGGCGCCATGGAGGATGGTGGTAGATAGGCTATGGCCGGCAGCTAGTGCAGAAAGATACTGTAAACCTCCCCGGGACTCTGTTCCCTGTGATGACCGGGATCACGACGATCTTTGGGCATTTGGCCAGGTTTGTGCAGAGCTCCCACAGTATGCAGCCTCACTTGGCCATTGCTATGCCACGCCCCTGTGACCTTTTTAACTGGTGAGTAAAGACCAGCTCCTGAAAACTTTCACACCAACCATTTCTTTGTACTTTTATTAAAAGTGAATACAAAACTCTATTTCCTTAATTTTTATTAAATAGCAAACGAATGTTTACTCTTGACTGGAAAAACTATATCAAAGCGCTAAAGGTGTGAGGTTGTGAGGAAAATAAATAAATAATATTGAATACGATCAAGTATTCAAGTGAAAAAATGTATATATATTGATCAAGTGGAAATAATGAGTAGAAAGGGGCTGTATATTTTAACCTCAGCCTAACATATAGTTGAAAGGATTAAAAATTATATATCAAGGAGAAAGTGTTATTAAAACAAAACTTCCATGTGAATAAAATTGTATCAAAAGGAGCAAGTGAATGGTCATGAAAACTAGTGATGGTAACAAGTGTAAAACAAAACAAAATTGATATAGTGTTGCATTAAGTCATCAGTCAATATTAAGTGATAGAAAACGTGGTAGCCTTTCAAAGTCAATCAGCGATATATAACAGTATATAACAATTTATGGGCTGATCCACAAATAGCCCCCTTTCAGTGAAGAGACAGTGTTCAGTGGATGATGATTTTAAAAAGCCGGGGGAGAGACGAACACAAGGTAAATACTTGATGATTTATTACGGTGATAGTCCGACAGCCCCCCTCATGGATGGGTACTCACCAGACTGTAGTCAGTAGAAGGCTTTTTGGTTAGTAGCACTTCGATCTACGGTTGTGCTCTAATGTAGACTCGGTTATTCCCGCTTTGAGACCAGGCAGGAAGAGAGTAGTTTTTTCTTCCTTGCAGCGCTGGAGGTGTCCCACAAGCGTGGTAATGGATTCTCTCAAATACGGTGACAGCGAACCTTCTCTCCGTAGCCCCACGATGTTTAGGAATTAGAAAAAAGAGAGAGCCCTCATGGTGCAGTAATTAAAAGTATTCAGATTTATTAAAAAAGTAGTAACTCACATATACAGTGTAAAAAATCCGGCCGGCAAAAGCAGCTCTGGAACGGTTTAAAAAACTCCTCGTGTGCAAAATGAATCTACCCTCTTGACGCATTTCGTCATGTGACTTTCTCAAAAAAAGGTAGATGTCAAGTAATGAGGTAAATGCTGGTATATAAGCGCTCTACTAATTGGTCCTGATTAGGAGACCCATCAGCAGAAAGTTCAACACCAAGCGTCCATAAAAGGTTATAAGGTTATAAAGTTATAAAGTTTTAAAACTAAATGAATCTACATAGAGAAAAATAGTTGAGACATCAGGGGGATAAATTAATTACAGTTCACAACATTTCATCAAGCATCTTAATTACATAAAAACGGTTATTAAATGTCAAAATTGTGAAATTGGTTACTGAAGTCTTTCCTCAGAAAAAGATTCCTGGTTTTCATCATCCTGTTCCATTAAGGGATGGTATCTTTGGGCCAGGGGCAAATTAAAACGAGTTTGTTGTGTTGATAGTTTTTTATACTGTGGATTTGAATCATGATCATTCAGAAGGGGTGTGGTTGTCCCTTCTCTTTCTCTTTTTCGTTTTTTATGTATTGGTTTCCAATTAAAACTGTTAGGGACCTGGGTTATATCCTCGACTCAATCTAAGCTCGACTCCTCTAAGTAACGAAGAAGAGAGGGTTTTGAACTTGGGACTGAAATTTGCCCCCACACATAACCTTAACAAATTTTCTACCTATGTTGATCTACAAAAATTCATTAGAAAATTAAATATAAAAAAATATTATTCCTCCACCTCCAGCATTACCCCTTCTAATGCCATTACCACCGAAGAAAGGAAATACATTCAAACCCCGCTAAGGAACAACTCAGTATTTAATCCTAAAAATAATTCCAACCACTTCATTGAAGTCTTTAAAAGTTTGGTGGAAGAAGACATTAGATCCCTAAAAATTAAATATATAAAGAATAAAGAATTCCTCAGCAGAGGAATTGAATCCCTTGAGGATATAAAAGATATTGTGATCAGACCTGCTGATAAAGGGGTAGGGGTGGTCGTGATGAACAGAAACTATTAAGAGGAAGAAATGAGGAACATCCTACAAACTAAAAATACTTATAGACTATTAAAGAAAAACCCTACCTACGATTTAAAAAAAAGAATTGGTGATCCTAATTAATAAGGGACAGAAAAAAGAATTGCTCACGAAAAAAGAAAAAGATTATCTATTACCCTCTGTTTGTAAAGTGCCGACGATTTATTTCCTTCCCAAAATTCACAAAGACAAGGAAAAACCACCAGGAAGACCTATCATTAGCGGAATTGACTCCCTCACAGCAAGATTAGGGGAATACATTGATTATCATCTACAACCCTTGGTAAATAAAACGGAAGCTTACTTAAAAGATAGCAGGGATATGTTAAATACACTTTCTAGACTAACAGAAATTATCGATAAAGCTACATTACTAGCCACCATAGATGTAGCCTCTCTCTATACTTGTATACCTCATGAAAAAGGACTCAGAGCAATCAAATGGGCATTCGACAAATATGGAGACCTCAGACGCAAGCAAATTAACTATATTCTTGAATGCCTTCAATTTGCCATGACTAAAAACTTCTTTTGGTACCAAAATAATTTTTATTTACAAGAGAAGGGTGTAGCCATGGGAGCTAAATTCGCTCCAAGTATGGCTAACCTATACATGGCACAATGGGAAGAAGAACACATTTTTAGTAAACCCATAGAATCATTAATACTCTGGAAACGCTACATCGATGATATCTTCATTATTTGGAAAGGGACATTACCCTCCCTAGAAAATGTTGTAAGCTGTCTAAAAAATAATGACTATATATTACGGTTTACATCCACTATTAACAAATCCACAGTATACTTTCTAGATTTGGAGATTACTAAGGATCTAAACGGTTGGAAAACGAAAACATACTTCAAACCTACCGACAAGAATGGATACATTCCTATCCAAAGCTGTCACCACTCACAATGGCTGAGAGCTATCCCTAAAGGACAGCTAATGCGCATTAGGAGACATTGTACCGACCTGGAAGATTTTTATTCACAATCTCAGGTCCTTGTCCATAGATTTGCAGAAAAAGGCTACAAGATGGATGAGCTATATCGGATAAGAGATAAAGTTGGAGACCTTGATAGGAAGAATTTATTACAACAAGGTCCAAAAAAGAAAACTGATACCTTTCCAATATCATTTATAACCGACTACTCAACCCAACACCGTGATATAGAATATATTATCAAGAAGCACTGGGCTATTCTAAAAAGGGATAAAACACTTGGCTCCATACTCCCGTCTAAACCTAGAATCATCTATAGGAGAGCGCCCACCTTGAGGGATAAAATATCCAAAAATGTTATCGATCCACTAAAACAAACCGCTTCCTTCTTTGAAGGAGTTGGTTTTTATCCCTGCAAAAGATGTTTGGGTTGTAGAACCACAGGGTTGAGAACAAAAATAAATTCTTTTAAATCACAAACAAACAATAAAGAACACAAAATTAAACAATTTATCTCCTGTACTAGTCGTTACGTCACTTATCTTTTGGAATGTCCATGCGGACTCCAATATGTCGGCAGAACCACGAGAGAACTGAGGAAGAGGATAGAGGAACATATTAATAACATTAAAAAGGGGTTTACAAAACATAGTCTTTCTAGACACTTCTAAAAACGAATCTAAATGGATTTTCCTTCTAGATACCATGACACCCAGAGGACTCAACATAGAATTTGATTTAAATTGCTTTCTAACTAATGACTAATATGTTATAGGTTTATATAGTTCTCAATTAATATCAAAATCTTCCCTCTATTTCTTGGATTTCACCCTCTATTTACAATATCTTTTCAATAATTAATTTTTGTACAATAATTCCCTCTAATTTTCGCCTGTCAAATACATCGATTAAGGTCGACAGAGACGTCATACCTTCAACATACAACTCTACATGAAAATTGCACTGATTAATGTTGATTGAAGCACTATTTAACTAGAGTGGTCTCCACTAAATCATTATTTTTCATCATTATTTTTTACCACCACTTAATTACCAACCATTATTTCCTATTTCACATTTCACAGCTTTAGTTTATTACCCATAATTATTTAATAACTTAATAATTGATATTTATCTATGTTTATCACTTTTCGGAAGACACCTAAATTATCGACATACACTTACGGTAATTATCCTCTTTACATACACTGATTTACACATCAGTTAACCACCACTTTTTTATATAAATCTCTTATAACTTCACATGGGTTTATATTAATTATATCCCCTTGTTTTACACTCTATACCTCCCCCACATAGCTGAGCTGTTTAGGATCGGACTTTTAATCATGTAACTTATGCTATCTTATTAAGGCATTTGAGGAAAGACTTCAGTAGCCAATTTCACAATTTTGACATTTAACCCCTTCATGACTGAGCTAGTTTTTAGTTTCTGTTCCTAAAGATAACACTTTCTCCTTGATATATAATATAATATAATATAATCCTTTCAACTATATGTTAGGCTGAAGTTAAAATATACAGCCCCTTTCCACTCATTATTTCCACTTGATCAATATATATATTTTTTTTCACTTGAATACTTGATCATATTCAATCTTATTTATTTATTTTCCTCACAACCTCACACCTTTAGCGCTTTAATATAGTTTTTCCAGTCATTTAAGGAGTTTGCTCCTTTTTTTCTCAGCTGCTTTAGGTTTTAATATATAATTTAGTCAGTTCCAGAAGCACAGATCATTCACTGTATATCTAATGTTTACTCTTGACTATGTGTGTACATGTGCATCTATTAACATTTTGCTGTGCAATAATGGGAGGTAGTTAGCAAATCAAGCCCACAATTGTTGCCATAGTTAACCTTTTGTGAACCAGTCACAGTACATAAATGCCCAGTCCACATCCCC